ATTTATATATATATTTCTAGTTCCTAGTGTATTTAAAGAATTTTAAATTGTTTACATATCACACCTAAGACGTTCATTCATTATTCCTTCTTCTATTAGATAATGATTGAATACCTCCTATATACAAGGCACTGTTTCTAGGCATTTGTCTTTTGAGGCCAAATGTATATATAGGTAACTAATTCCACCTCTAGGATTTAAAAGAGGCACTAAAGTACTTTTATTATCAACCTAGGTATATTTTATTAAGCCATCTTTTTTTTTTTCTTATGCATTCTCAAGACTGGCCTTTTCTATGCATGTATGTTTCATTTTTAAGAGAACAAAGCATTCAGACTAGAACCTTATTAAGCAGACATATAAGGAAATGATAATCCAGTTAATTATGAAATAATTTTTTGCTATATAAAAGTAGTTTGCTGACAGCTCCATATCTGGATATATCTATGGGAAATATAGAAATAGTTCATTGCCCGTCTTTGTTGTTATTTTGTTGGGGCCATATTGCTTTTCCTACAGAAATATTTTCAGCTTTCTCAAGATAGTATGGGGTTTCTAATAAATATGAAAGGTATTAGTTATAGGAATGTTATATGGGCCAATTTGAATGGAAAATGTTTGCATAATTTCACTTATCCTCTGGTTTTCTCATGGCAAAGGACTTGTGGGTTTTAGAAGTCTAGAGTCTGACTACAGGAGGCTGTTTTCTTTGATTTTCTCTTTTTGTTTACAGCTCAAAAGAACAGCACTGACCTATCAGACATAGAGGATGTACACCAGCACAAGGTATAGCGCTGTTTAGCAGTAAACATTTTTTTTTTTCCAACGTTTATTTATTTTTGGGACAGAGAGAGACAGAGCATGAATGGGGAAGGGGCAGAGAGAGAGGGAGACACAGAATCGGAAACAGGCTCCAGGCTCTGAGCCATCAGCCCAGAGCCTGACGCGGGGCTCGAACTCACAGACCGCGAGATCGTGACCTGGCTGAAGTCGGACGCTTAACCGACTGCGCCACCCAGGCGCCCCTAGCAGTAAACATTTTTATAGATTGCACACGCTGCCCATTTTATAGATTATCAGAGTGGAAAGAAAGATGGCTAAAGCATTCATCAGGAACAGTGACTTCACCTTGCTTTTAAGAAACTTTGGAATAGTTACGTGAGAATCAGTGTTCTGGGCTGTTATTCAGGAAGCAGTTGAGTAAAGGTAGCATATTATGGCACACTGATGTGTCAATAGCCATTTCCTTTTTCCTCCTCTTCATGGAGCCATGGGGTTTATCATCCATGTCAAATTTCTTCTGGCCAGAGATGTCAACCCATTCCTTCAAACTTTATACTGTGGGCCATTACTCTTCATTTGGGGCTTGGTTTGTGGTGACTGAGAGGAAGCAGTGTCCCTGTTTTAATCTTAGCAGGCCACAACAGTTTTTTCATGCAGATTGGTTTGGGAGCCTATCTGCCTTCTTGGGTTTTGTTTTGTTTTGTTTGTTTTTTGGGGTTTTTTTGGTTGGTTCGTTGGTTGGTTTTTATTTTTATTTTTTTTATTTTGAGAGAGAAGGAGAGAATGCCAGCAGGGGAGATGGGCAAAGGAAGAGAGAATCTTAAGCAGTCTCCACACTCAGCATGGGATCAACATGGGGCTTAGTCCCACAACCCTGGAATCATGACCTCAGCCGAAATCAGGAGTCTAATACTCAACCGACTGAGCCACCCAGGCTATCTTCTTGTTTTTAAATCCCTTCTTTTCCTGCCCTACCTATAGTCTGTCAGATACTAAATGAAAAAACTCTCAATTCTAGCTCTATCTGTATAACAAATGGGAGAGGAGAATATTTCTAAAGCATTTTCATTTGGTTATGTTTAAAGCCTATTAAAATTAAGTAGATTAAATTTTGAATTATGCCTAATAAGAGGAACAGTGCTGAATACGGGCAAAAACAAAATGTGAACCAAAAAATATGGATTAGTACACATAATGAGTCTTAATCTACTACATTTCCCTTTTTCTGTTAATCCTTTTTTGAAATACGACGTTGTATATATATGCCATCAGGTGCTGTGTTTAGATCAAATCATAAAATTGAATGGCATAATGATTTCATTTATCAACAATTCTGAGTTAATTGAATATAGAGCTACAGCGGAAAATTAAAGCTAACTATATGTTTTCTTTCTTTAGAAACCAAAATTCAGTTCTAAAAATCTCATTGGGTTTGTTGATGATGAAAATTCCAACAGACAGAAATCAGAAGATGTAAAAGTTGATAAAGGAAGCAAAGAAGGTTTATTTATAAATAAAGATGTATATGAACATTACCGAAGAGATTCCAAAGACACAAAATTTGGTAAATCCATGCATAAGCAATCAGCTCTTAACCAAATACACTCTATTAGAGGACTCAGAAAAGACAGTTTCCAGGATATCAAAGGTCCTAGCACAAATGTGTCTAAAGCCAGAGGAAGAAGAAACATATGGCATAAAAGAACTCAAGTGGATGATGCAAAACAAGAACGCATTCCAAGAAAGACAGTCGCTGTTTCTTCTTCCAGAAGAATAAATAGATTGGTTACTGGTCAACAAGATATTCTCCAAGGCTTTGCTGACCTTCCAGAACAGTCACATAAACTTTTTAGCCTAGCTCCATCAAGCCTGAAAAATGGATTAGGTAGTAGTATGGAGGCTTGTTCAGTTCTCAAAGAGACACATATCCACAGCCTGGATTTATCAGATAATCAGGAAACAAAATGCTTGGAATCCACTCATGGAGCTGAAGCTGTTTTTTTCTCAGGACTTTCCTTACAGAAAGAAATCAAGTTACCACTTGTTACTACACAGCAGCAGCCTGACACTCACCAAGAACAACAGCACATTAGCCTTTCTCATGAAAATAGTAACTTGGGTCAAAAAGGTGAGAACCTTAATGAGTGGGAGAATTCTTTCGCATCCTTTATAAAGGAAAATCTTAGTGATGATGATGATTGCTATATCTCTGAGAAGACTATAACACCTAAAAAAGTGGTATGTTCTACGGGTTGCACAAACCACTATAATTGTGAAAAGAATATAACAAATAGAGAAGAAATGGATTTTCAACAGATTTTCCCTTCTGAAGACTGTATTTCACAGGAAAATAAGTTAAAAGCTTGCAGTCTAACCATATTTCCACAACAGGAAGCTGTTGATTTTTCTGAGTCAGATAATACAATAGGTCCTGAACAACATGTTGCAAATTACGGACGATGCACATATGAAACTTCTTTTGATCATTCACATGGCAGTCCAGAGCTTTGTCCAGGAACATTTTCAACACAGGGAACTTCAAAGTTGACTAGTCATGTGGAGCTATTCAAAAGGCCTCAAGATCCTTTAATGGATCAAACAGATACGCGTACTGTGGAAAAGGTAAATGAGGGAGAAGACGCTAAAAGGGATTACAACGATGAAAGTCAAAAACCAAGTTCTTCCAAAGGGCCTTTGTCTGCAGTTGTTAATTCTCATGTAATAGAAACAACTACAGTTGAAAAAAGGAAACAAGATATTCCAGAGAACAAAACCATACATAATATAATTTTTTATTCTGCTGACAATATTAATAAGGAATTGACCAATGTCTCACAACTTAGACAAAAAGAAGAGAAAGAAATTTCTCATATACCAGGTATTAATAATATTTCTTGATTAGTACACATTTCCAATAGATTTACTTATTTGATAGAAATTTCTAACTGAATTCCACTCACCTTATGCCCAAACTGACCAGAATCAGGACATGTAGAGTATAATTTAGGGATACTATTAATTAAGTAATATTGTTGACTTGAAAATCAAACTATTATCATCAAAGATTGTTGATAAATTGATGTTTATAGAAGTTAATAATTTATAGAAGTTTCTATAGCAGGAAATCGTTAGCTCATTTGATTTCAGTGGTTCACTGTATTCCTGTAAGTATTGTATCCAGCACACTTTGTTATATAAAGGTATACTTTTTTTTTTTT